TATATAAAGGGGGCCGCCAAAGGAAGCACCTAGACACTACGGATATTCGACAAATTTGAATCAATTATTAGTTATTTGATAGGCATCACTCTACATAATATGACTTCATAATATATACTACGACTTTATAATTTTCTATGCAAAGTCAAGTGTGTCACTTATAATGTAAAATCTGCGTAATAATACTGACGCTGTTTTCGTTACTTCGTCGAAATAGGGAGAGCAAAAAAATTATAAACACTTTTTTTTTAAATTTTGAGGGTATTAGACTTATACCTGAATACCTCCTGAGCTACGCCACTGATTAAGGAAATTACCGAATTTTGGTTGTTTTTATATCAGACTTACTCATCTTTAACGATTATAGGCTGGCCTACACAGATACGTTAATTTTGATATTTTATTTACAAACTATATTATTTAAACTGTTTATCAGCAAAAATATATAACATAAATTAGAAAATGAATGTCTTTTTAATTCTCTCAGTTTAAAATATTTCATGGTAAATGATATTACATTAAAAAAATTGTATTAGAAACTGCATATTCGTGTATTAGTCAAGTAAATTTGGTCTATTACTTAAAAGGCTCCTTTATAATTGCTTGTTAAATAAAACAAAACTTTACACCGAAGACACGTTTTTATTAATATTTCTACTTCCAAGTTGTTCACGTCTATTATTCTGAAAATTATTCAAACAAGAGTCATACCCTCAGTACATTTCAAAGATTATAACACAAATTGCCTTTAGTTTTAAATACCTTGTTTTTCTGTGTAAATTATAGTTGTCTTATCATTGCGAGGACGTTAAAAATAGTAGATCTACACTTTCCTTTACTTTGTATTATTAAATTTTATGTCACTGCTTGCCATTTTTGCCAAGTGCATACGAATTATAAGTGGGCCTTGTTCAAAATACTTTTTCCTGTCAGTCCAGTTTGTTAACGTTTATATCTAATCTATTCCTTTTCGTTAATACCGGATCATTCAGGATGATGCACGATATCTGAGTCGGAAACCTTAAAAAACCGAAGAAATTCCTCTTTAAATGATGCAAGTAGCCGTGAGAATCGTGTATGGCAGATACAGTCGCTATATAAATAATTATTCTTTTTTATAAGAACACATTTTATAAGAACACTGAGGCTGAAATTACTTAAATATTTAAAGAACTATATAAGAACAAATTGAGGCTGAGGTAAAATGTCAAATGAGGTTTTATAAAAAAAAAAAAAAAGAACAAAAACCGAAACAAAATATATCTGTACCTTATAGGCCTATGCAGTGGTGTGACTATGTAATGTCCTCTTTAATACAGTACAGCTGGCGTACCTACCTGCTATTTTGGGCAATTTTTACCAGGGCCATTTTTTCCGGGGCCATTTTCTCCGAGGCCACTTTTAACTACATTCCAATAGTCTGTACAATAACAGTTTTATTTGTTTGAAGAGTGTGTAAATATAAGAACAAAATAAGAACATTATGAGCCTGAAACCTGCCAAAAAATATGAACACTATTCCTGGGAAAATTTTTACTGGTTCTTATATAAAAATAAAAAAAGTGCAATATGCAATTTTAAATCAGGCAATTATCCAATCAGAAAAAAAATTTGTATCATTCGAAGAGAGTATATTGGGAATAAACAATTCTGAGACGATCGAGTAACAAGTGTAGATTAGAGAAATGTTACTAGTGTGAGAACAGGTTGATGCGAAACACAAGATAACATGGCCTTGTATTTTTTTGGAATGACATTTATACTATAATACTTAAAATCAGTGCACATCTTCGTGCTTACAAAATCTTGCATTCAACGACATCCATGCATGAAAGCCTGTGTTTTATACTTCACGACCTGTTTCAAATCAAGTGAAAAGGGGCTTACAAATAGGCTCAGTGTCACAAGACTGTGATATCATTTTGCAGCAGTCATGTCGTTCATTGTATTTATCCTCTTTGTAACCGAAAATATAATGTGCATTTAGAAGCACGATGGAAGAATTTCGGCTGTCGAGAATTGAGCAAATGACTGGGATCGGAAAGAAAGCATCTAAGCACATTCAAACATCGATGGAAGGTTAAAAAATAAAAAAACTATTTTAACACACCACTCCCACCCCACGCATACTGTATATAAAATACTAGGCCTATATACGAATTAAACTCCAATGAGATTTATGTATATTATATAGAAATATATTATATTGCTTTGGAGTGATAAAGCCGTAATGAACTGTTGCCACTCACAATAGTATATATGCCTTCGTAATTCTAATCATTTTTCTGTCTTTGTAAAAAATATTCTTAATCCTAAATTCTGCATAGGCCTACTATTTTTAAACACGATAGATGTGAACATGTAAAAGGCTTGCGAAATACTGCCTACAATAGATTGACTCCAAAATTGAACGGTGGTGTAGCAGTTAGCTTTAGCGTAACCTCTGACTTCATAATAGTGACGTTTAAGGTAGAAAGTATGAAAATACCCTTGAATCAACCTAAAGCAACATAATATGAAGATTAACGTCTGCCCTGATGGACGAAAAAGAACAAAATATGAGGAAATAGCATATACACTTTACTTGCATAAAGACATTGGCAGTACGTGGGCAGTAACATTCTGCCCACGTACATGTTCTTATTTTTTTTTGCCAATTTTTTAGTGTCAAAATTTTCATACTTTGCACACTTTTTAAAGACAGAAAAGTCAACTGCACAGTAGTATATTACTGTACTATTATAGAGGGTATTGCATAGTAACTGTACGTAATGCAATTTAAGTATATTAATAAATCCTTGGGTTGGAGCTTATCCTCAGTTCAAGTACCGTGAAGCGGGTGAGAGAGTGATGCTTCCCCTTGGTGGTACGCTGGTCCACCGCCGGCTGCCCCCAGCAATTTGCTGGTACGGTACCAATTGATACAGCTGGGTAGACTGAAAAAATGTAAATATAAAATGCCTTGCTCAAGGAAATTCAAAGCGAAAGATTGAAATCTCGAAGTTGGGAATCAAAACCATTCCACTGCGCCAAATCGCTTTCAATGTAATATGGTAAAGATAGACCAAAATAATTTGCTGTCTGGACCAAACCAGATCATTATAGCACAGGCTTCAGTCTGAAGAAGTTCGCAGTTTGCCAATGAAACGTTACAGATGAACTATTGCTATCATACATTTTTGGTTCAAAATAAAAGTTAAAAAAAAAAATTGAACTAATTTGTTGTTGTTTTTTTTATTTTTTTTGTTCAAGTGAAAACCTCATGAAAAATTTTACTCAGCCTCGATTTGTTCTAATCTCGTTTTTGTGTTTTAAATATTTCAGCGTCGGTGTTCAAAATGTGTTTTTATAAAGAATATAAGTAGGTCTATACACATTTACATTCGTTATTCGTACTCACATCCAATAAAAATAAAATCAACAACACTCATGATCATGGTGGCCAAACAAGAAGCCAGGATCTGTAATAACACTATAGGCTAGAACGCCGCCAATGGTTATCAACCTGGACATATATATCGATTGTCTGTTATTGTCTGAAGAAAATAATAACAAAATCAATGAAGTGCGACATTTTCTCGAAATTTACGGTACGGACAGGCACAGATAGGTAAATTCAATAAGTGTGTGCACCTGTGTTTCGATGGTACTAACTAGAAACGATGGTGAAGCCGACTGCATTTCCGAATGAAAGCCACGGAAAGGTTCCCTATGACAAAAAGAAGGGGGACGTAAAAAAAGATGGAGTGTATGTTATAGAGGTAGGTAATTTCTCCATAATAATATTATTTACTGTCAGTTTTCGATCCGATTCGCAGTTGATTTTAGCGCCTGCCATCATGTGAGTCAACAAAGGATCGAGATTCATTGCTTAGATGCCTATCTCAGTCATTACTTCTGTTATTAAGTCAGGTTTAGCACTATTGTGGCATGAGATTGAATAATTATCTTACCGTATACAGTATATACTAGCATATAAGACGAGGATTAAAATAGCAAAATTACCGTAAACGAAAAACAAGGGGTTGTCTTATACGCGCGCGACATACATTTTTTAAATCATGTTCGTCATATGTGCGGATCGTCCGTAACATGCGATGTACTACTGCAATGGACATACTAAATGTTTGTATAAATGAACGCAACTTTAAAATACTGAGAAATATGATTTTTATTAACATGTGAAAGTTCATAAATGGTATTATTTTGAAGATTGTCCATACATTTGGCTCCATTTTTGCTAGCAGTATCAAGACAATTAGTTAAAAGCAGCAAAATATGAATTCCGACTTTGAAATAGTCTTATGCGAGTATCAGTATATTTATCCTTGTAGCCTAAAAAATGATCAGATGTAATTTTAAAATGTTAAAGGTTACTATCAGTTGTGCTAATATTTGTTTGCTTATTAAAGAATGAGTCTTGCTTAATGGCGTAACTACGAGTTATGGGACTCGGTGGTGAGAAAATGTTTGGTGCCCCTTGCATATCAGTGAAGTATTTTCGCTGACGAAGTGACCGTGAGATAATTTTAAAGATTTATTTTTTAAAAGATCGTTAAGACTATTTAATGATTAAACAATGTCAACAATTATCGTGTGAGCATTTAACAATAAGGGCCTAATTAACTAATATTTTTATGGTCTCCAGCATTTTTAAAGAACAATTTTTTCGCAAATCGCATGGTCGTCCCCACCTTGAATCCGCCATTAATTATTGTCCCTTTTCGCCACAGTTGGAAGATGAGACTTTTAATATTTGAAACTTAGAATGAAATGCAAGACTTAAGTTTAAAAAAAGTAAGACCTAGGTCTTAGTTACTTTGTGTGGCCCAAGCTTGACTGACCCAAATATACTTTCTTGAGGATTGGTTTCTTTGCAGGAAATATTTTCAATCTTAAACCTAATTATTTTAGCCCTGTGGTTACCATTATATCAACCAACCAATATACGCGGAGAGCAGCTTTTAGCTGTATTATTGTCTGTGTTTGCATAGATACCCATTTCAAATTCATTGGGAAAAATGCTATTTTTTATTCACATGACGGCGTTTCTGTTACAAGTTTATGTCTAGCTCGTTAAACAGTGGAATGTTTAGATTTACACGATTATGCTGTGGTAATATATTTATTGTGGGCATAGGCCCTATAATAAAATATTCTTCAAATGAGGGTCCACATGAAATACTATTTTGAAGTCTTCAGATCTTTTAAATGTAAATTAACACATATTTTGAATTCACAATCTGATTTTTAATGTTTTTATTTTTTATTTATTTTTTTTTTCTGCAATCCTGCTCGCGACACAACGAACAAATTTGGCGACTCCCTTTTGAGTTGCGACTCAGTTTGAATGTAATATGTTTTTTTTTTTTAATTTTAGCAAAAGCTACTACCGTATTATAAAGGTGTAAGAGGGGCCATTTGGACTGGGACTGGGCTCCAGAAAGCACATGGGTTAGGAGTGGGCCCGGGGCTGCACCCCCGAGAGCTCTCATACTTGCTGACAATTTCTCTATTAACTATTTCAGACTTGTGGGCAATAACTGATTCAGATTTCATAACACACAAAAAATGTAATATGAAATTATTTTTGCTGCGAAGTAAACACATATAGAAAGACATAAATATTCTTGACATAAAAATTCTTGACAGACTTATACAATCTGAGATGACTAAATTGACTAGGTTCATTTTCAAGCTAGGCGTATCTAGAGGTCTTGAAATGGGGGAGCTGATGGGGTGCGAAGTTGATGTGGGGGGGGGGTGCTCGATGATCAGTTGATTTTGGTGATTTTTAACCACTTTACCGAGATTTTTGGGGTGGCGACTGGGGAGGGGGCATGAGTAATTTTAGGAGGGGCGTTCCCCCCCCCTCCACCACGCACCCACTAAGATACGCCATTGCCTGACCATGACGACGATTTAAACTCGCGCACACATTATTGATCCTCGTTGTAATGATTATCTAGTACAAGGTCGTTGATTTCCACTCGAGCATGCAGTATGTTAGGTAATAATTGCTCTTGCTGTGTTTCGAACAGTGATGCTAAATTTTTGAATAGATAGTTTTTAATTTCGGATTAAGTACATCTAGAATGGGTGAGATTTTGTAATAGGTAAGCTATTTAGGGGTTGGTCTTCCAGAAAAATGAAGAAAAAGCAAAAATGGCATTATGAGAAATGTTTATTTTACTGAGTAAATATGGTGGTTTGGGGAAATAGGAATTGAGATTTTCCCAGAGATAAGATCAAGTGTTGATAAAGGAGATTCTTATAAAACAATATTGTTATAAATCGTTGTCGAATATAGAGCCAGCGCAGTTTTTTCAGGTAGGGTAAGGGACTAACTCGAAGGATCCCATAAAACACTATGTGAGCAGAAGAAGTTTAAATTCCGTGTAAACATTTAATTAATTTGATGGCGATATGCCACTCATTTTAAGAGTTCGTGTAACAATAATAATATAATATTTACTTCCTCAAATACAGGAGAAGGGTGAAGCCTGGGGGGAACAGGGTTCCTCCATGATTTTGCAGCCCAAATCATGAGCCAAACATGAAAGGAAAATCACAAACGTAGGCCTATACAATCACACACAACACATACAC